CACGAGCTTCGATGGATGGTTGTGATTTTTCCTCCTACGCGCTGTGTGCATGTAAGTATGTTAATGTGTGCACGAGCTAATCCCAGAAATGGTTGGCAGTGCGCCTTATGTGCATTTAAGTATGTTAATGTGTGCACGAGTTCAAGTTTGTATTTTAAGGGGAATTTGTATTTTAAGGGGGGTTTGTATTTGAATGCAATATATATATATATATATATATATATATATATATATATATATATATATATATATATATATATACACTCACACACACGAAAGAATCTGTTAACATGATTACATGAAGTAGAATGATTTGAAACTGTGTGCCACAACTATAGCATTAGAATGGAAGAAGAGAGAAGGGGTCCCCTTGAAATTGAAAAAAATTTTCATGTCAGCAACACAAATAATACATTCATTGTTTACCAGAAAATGGTAGTACGGTAAATGCCTTAACACTAACCAAAAGTCAATCACTCATAATAATAACTTCTGCAGCAATAAATTTTCTTGGATAGCATCAACTCATGATCATATGGTTCAATTCAAGGGACAACCTTGTCCTCTGCTAAAACAGCTGTAATATATAAATTTTTCCCCATGTACAATCAAGAACTCATAAAACAGATAAAATTTTTCAACAATTTTTTTATGATCACAATCCACAGGGGGGTTTATCTCAGTCAGTTTATCAAATCAAAGCGCCCATCCACCCGGTCCCATGAACAATAATTGCTCTTACCTCTCCGTGTCTGTCATCTGCTCCTCTCCTCGCCTGAATAAATGTGCTGACGAAACTCATGCCCTTCCTGTTAACCAAAACCGTCAAAACCAATCCCGCAAACCACAACACTCACACTTCACTTCTTACCTTACTCGACTCCATAGGCTGATGGGCATCACATGCTACCAGTCAGTATTTACTCCAAATGCATGAATACTTTACCTTCCATGCGTGTGTATGGGGGAGGGGGGGTGGGGGGGATGGGTACCCTGACATCTCTTATGATGGAGATATCAGTATCCAGATGGATTTTTATTGCAACTGTTCCATTCACATGTATCATACTTGGTCCAAGGATGTTACAGCTAACTAAATGTTAATAATCTTTGATGTGGACAGTTTACAGCCTTTTGATCCAGTAGTAACTATCCCAACTCCCAAGACATGAGCTTTTAAGGTAGAGAAAGAATCCCTGTGAAGGAATTGAAGTGTCAGATATGCATACAACTAGTCAAGTAGGATAGATTTTGCCATTCAAAATATATTCCTGCTAATCAGATCATGTTATAGTTATCCCCAACTAGGAGTTTGTTGCCTGTTAATAACAGGGAACCAGAATGAGAAATGATTATAGTCATCCTAAAAAAACTAGCCCGATAGGTGACAGCCCATCGAGCGTAGGTACCAGTACCACTCCACAATCTTTTGCAGAGCTTGGTAATCAAGCCCAAGGACAGAGTCCATCCCAAAAGACTAGTTCAATAAGTAAGAGAATGCCTCAAGTTTAAGTACCATTCCACAATTTTTTGCGGAGTTGTTGTGAAATCGTATCAATATCTTTAACAAATTCATCAAACATAGGTACCAGTACCACTCCACAATCTTTTGCAGAACTTGGTAATCAAGCCCAAGGTCAGAGTCCATCCCAAAGAGACTAGTTCAATAAGTAAGAGAATTCCTCAAGTTTAAGTACCATTCCACAATTTTTGTGGAGTCAAAGTGAAATCATATCAATATCTTTAGCAAATTCATCAAACGTAGGTACAGTACCACTCCACAATCTTTTGCGGAGCTAGGTAGTCAAGCCCAAGAAAAGAGTTCATCCAAAAGACTAGTTCAATAAGTAGGAAAATGCCTTAAAGTTAAATACCATTCCACAAATTCTTTTTTGTAGAGTCGAAGTGGAATCGTATCAGTATCTTTAGCAAACCCTGCAAATGTTCACATATCAAACCACTATAACAGCAAGTATCATTAGCAAACTCTGCATATGTTCACAGCCCAACTGCTATATCAGCAAACAGTGTGGGTAAAAAAAGTACAGGAAATCGAAACAACAATTCAGTATCTCTTCATTTTCTTGTAAAAGTGAATAAGCACACTCAAAGTGAAAATAAAACAATAAAAATCATCATTATTTAAAAGTTGTCTATATCCTTTAAATAGGTAAAGAAAAAGAAATTTCCTTTTATGCTAAGTTACATTACACAATGTAGTTCAGTAATGAAATATAGATGCACAACAACACTTCAGAATCTATTGCTCAATGGTACATCGCGACTAAACTCGAGGAGAATAATCTGTGGGGTACAATTTCTTTAGAACTACAGTTTTAGGGGCATTTCTTCTTACCCTTTTCTCCGCTTTGGACTCAAAATAAAATCATCGTCATCATCACTATCGTTGTTTAAACGTTTCTTTGCTTTTATATCACCATTTTTTGAAACCTGTTGTGGTTGTTTTGAACTCCCAACTGATACTGGCCGTGTTGGAGACTTTATAGGAGTTCCCGTCCTAAGTTGCTTTTGCTTCCTCTGTTTTTTCTCAAATGCCTTTTTTGCTTTATCGGGTGGCAACAGGCCATGTTCCATCAACCTGCAAGTAGAGCACTAGTGATTAATTTGGCCGAGTAAGGAAGAGGATTAATAGGCAACAAGAAAAGACGGAAGGGTATACATGAGACAAGGTTAATATTGCACAGCATCTGAAAGTGGAGAAATAGCACCCCGAATGTGCACTAACATTGAATCTTTCAAATCAAGAAAATTATGAACAGAAGCGCTACTGAGTATTACTCAATTGGTGAGCAATGAAATAAGAATCTCCCCAAAACATCAAGTTCAACAAACAATAGGGTTAGAAGGGGGGAATTGGAATAACAAGATTTTAGCTAGAAATCTTTAGAAAGCAGTTGTCTTGTATGCAATGTTGCAAAAGGCGCTAGGCGCTAGGCGGGCGCTCGAGGGGCGCCTAGCGCCTAGGCGGCTGAGTAATTCGAGTATATTGTCTCCACTTTTCCCACTCAGGACTAGGAGTTGTTAGACTATTATAATCCCCAAAATTAGTCAAATGCATATGTTAGATAGTTAGTTGCGTACATAATTGGAGAAATATAGATGAGGAGTAGCCGAACAGGCAAACAAAGCCACTTGGCCGAGTTGAGCGCACTGACTCGGTCAAGTTAGGCGCCCAACTCGGCGCCTAGTCGGTCGGCCGACTAAAAGCTGCCTAGGGATGAAATCGCTTCGGCCTAGGGGTGCCTAGCGCCTAGTCGGTGCCTAGGCGGCCGCCTAGGCCGATTTTTACAACCATGCTTGTATGTATCAATTCCAACCAGAATGGTTTTCTCATTTGGGAATTAATTCAAAGGTAAAACAAAATATGGAATAACTAGTTTATTCTTTGACTGCCAATTTCCAGCTCACAAGCAGGCCAGCAGGGTAGATGATCTTTAGCCATCTACCTAAAGTACAATTGAAATGTCTGTTACTCCGTTTCAATTGTCGAAAAACGTTGGCAACTTTGGGAAGATAAGGAACAACTACAAAGATTCAGCAGTTTATGCAAACAATATTCTCAAGATTTTACGGTGTTGTTAATTTCATCTCATCTTTCTATTTAAGAACCAACAAGTCTTGTACCGAAATCCTAACAAGCACTTGTAATCTTATTACTGTAACAGGGCAGAATAAATTTTCCAAGAGTTGGATGGACCACCAAACATCTAAAAGGAAAGAGACAATTACAATAGAGTGTCTGATGCACAATGCAGTACTCCCAAAAGCAAAAAATTTCTAATCCCGGACATTAAAAAAACTACTGTAAAATGGATTTTCCAGTTCTTCACTGGGCTTGAAATTTAATTTGAAAAGCCCATTCTGAAGTTCATGCAAATAATTATTTCTAGACTTGCTTGCATTCTAAGGTTGAAGCGCTCCTCCGCAAGAAGGGTGTTAATATAACTAAAGATGCAATTCAAGAAAATAAACACTTAAAAAAAGTAAGTATCAAATACTAGTTAGTTGAGATGGAGAGCCGCAGTATAAAGATTAAGCTTATTAAATTGACCACCCGTGGTCCTTCGACTTTCAAATTGTTACCATCCATTGTCCAAGTTAACCACCCATGATCCTTTCAGGAGGACCACAGCTGGTTAAATTTTGAAAGTTGAAGTACCAGGGTAGTAAATTTGGACCACGAATAGTAACAATTTGAAAGTCGAAGGATCACGGGTGACCAATTTAAAAGTTTAGGACTAAACGGGACAAAACCACCATACTCGGAGGACCCCATATGACATTAACTCAAAAGTATATGCTGCTTTGCATATAAACCAATGGAAGAATTAACTTATGAAAGCACATCTACACATTCTGCAGTCACTTAGCCAGCCATTATTTGAACATGTGCATATATTCCCAGAAATACATCTTCATCATCTACATAAGCTTGTTGCATGGTGAAGCTTACATTTGTACATAATGTTGTTTCAAAAAGTAATAGTATTATGGCCAAGTAAATCATGTCCTGTAACCGTTGAAACTTTCTAAACTTTAGAGATATGTTTTAAACGTTTTCCTAAATTCACTAAAACCAGACAATAAATAGATAACTAGTTAACTACAAGATATATTTTGCAAGTATGAAGTCAGAAAGAAATAGTAACTCACCAAAACTCTGCCATTTCACTCGAAGGAATCTGTTTTGATAGCGACTCATAGAATAATCTCAACGGTTCTCGCTGTCAAAATGAGAAACCAACACGTTAGGAAGTAATGTCAAGCCGATGCATATTTCAACTTTGAAGGATTGGAAAAGTTAAAAAGGAAGCTTAAAAGGTAGAGAACCTCTTCAGGAACATCAAACTTCTGGCCTGGCAAGGAATAAACTTTCTTCTCCCGAGTTCTAGTAACAGTTTTCTTAACAGTCTTGGACGAACTTGAGGTTGCTTTTGCATTCACCTTTACTTAAAAAACACCAATCAGAGAAAACAATCACATCAAAATCATAAGAGCAAAGCAAATAACTTTAAAACCATCAAATCCCAGAAACAATAACCTAAAACAGACAGATTTCCTGTACTCCACAACAGGTTTAAGGATTTCTCTAACAGTCTAACATCCAATTCATTGATGATTAAAAAGATGCTATCCAAAATCCAAATCACCAGATGAAATTGTCAAATTAAATAAACTACAAACTTTCATACCAACACCAATTCACTGATGATTTATCCAAAATCTGACCAAACGATCCAAATTAAAAACTATAAAATTTTCCAAAACAAGTAATTCAGTAAATGCCCAATCAAAGTACAAAGAAACCCAGACCAAAAGAAGGAAAAAGAATCAATCTTGGCTGCAATTTAAGGAAAAGGGTACCTCAGTTTTGGAGATAGTTTTGCCCTTGGCATCAACAGATTGTTTATGAGAGGATATCTCCACAGTTCTCTTCTTGGTCACAGATGAGGAAGAATCAAATCTGGGCTTCGAAGATAACGATGTTGACCCATCACCGCCACTGGGTTTGACCCTCACAACACTGGATTTGGTGTTTGTGGCCATACCAACAAGCTGCTTCAGCTGATTAATCTCTTACGTTACTGTTCTCAAGATGCAGAAGAGCATCACTATCTGTTATCTTTTCCCAGACTGAGTTGAATTGCTAAAAAAGATTGCGGAAATATTATATTTAGGCAAAATCTAGAAGGTGGGTAGAAGTTTGGTGAAATTCAGGTTTTTTTTTTTAACTGGTTTGGATGGGTGTAGATCTTGCATTTACTGTTGCATTTGATGCCATGATTCATCAGCCACTCTTTTGGCTTTTGGGCATGTGAAGGAATAAAGGAAGGAGTTAAGTGCCAACTATAGTATAAGGCCAATCTTTTGTTTTTTGTTGTCTCTCTTCAAAAATTTGTGTATTTAACAAAATTTATTCACTTTCTTGATTTGAATTGATGAACAATATGTAACCTAAGTTGATGTATACCCTTGTAATCATTTGTCAACTAACATTGCAATGTAGATTTCAGTCAAAGCCTCCTTTTGAATGGCCGTTAAAGATTTTTCATACTTATTATTCATCGGTCAAACCAACTTTTTATTCTTTGTTTATTTTCATTAGTTTGTTACTTATTTTTAAATTTAATTTTTTGTGTTTAATAATATTTTTAGCGTAGTTTCTAAACATATAAATTTATATACTAATATTAAACTTTTTATTTTAGTACTACTGACTTTCTTACAATGTAGTATCTGTCCATATATATACAAAAAGAGTGAACATGTGACTACCTATTTAGGAGAGCCATACTTATGCCACTCAACTAAAAGGTCTTTGGCTTATACGGAGTACTAAACTTAATATTATAAAAAATTGAATTAAAAATAACTTCAATTATATCCCATTAACCAAACCAGACACATAAAATCAGACGGAGGGAGTATAAATTTACAGTTTAGAATATTTTGGAATGTTCACCTACAAAGCCTTATTCAAGCAATCCAATTCAAGTTAGTTGGTATGGGTAGTTATTACAACAACAAAAAAAAACTAAGCCCGAGTTTAAGTTAACGAGTTGATTAACCAATTAATTTATCTGATATATTTATTCATTGTAATCTTATGCTTACTAATTCAATAATCTGACCAACTTGATTGAGATTATCCCAAATCCGACCCAAGTTTTGACGCAAAGCCAAATTGCCTTGTCTGTCAACTATTCTTGGTCCTGCAATATATGGCCAAGCAGGAATATATCCCTTATCCATAGTTGAAGGAATGGGGGAAGAAGGAATGGGGAATGTCAACTCATAATTCATAAATGCTTATTCAAGAATGCAAAGAAGCATTTTGTGGGGAACCAAAGTGAAGATAATATGAACCTCATCTCACACACTAATATGACCTCCAATAAACATTATTCACAAAGGTTGTGAAACATTACTGTTAGCAATTACAGTGAACATCCTTCACAAATGTGATGAACTTTCAAAGATTCAACAAGCCTAGTGAGCTAGAACTCATGATATATTTGTGTGTTTCTAAGCTATCTGCTTTAGGTCAAGGTCACTCAACTCGGCTATAATGCACATGGGTCAAATTAGACTAAAAAACTGAATCCAATCAATTAGTTAGTCTAACACATGACCTTATAAACTCATATGTTCTCTATTATATTTGCAATACGGGACTCTTACCAGATTTCAACGCAAAAATGTCAACTATTTATTCGTGAGCACGCGCTCGATATGCCCATTGCAGAGCCCAACTTGAAGGCATATATTCATTCATATGGAATTACAGCATGTGCAGAGATGATAAGAGCAGAAAAGTAGTCAACTTGGCTGAAGTGTCAGTTTCAGATCACTATAAAACACAGTTCTCTGCAACAATTTTTTCATCACAACACAAGATGGTGAAGAAAGAGTGGCCTTGCATGAAGAGAAACGCCTCGTTTAGTAGCCAAGGATGACTTGCCTAGCGCTCTTCCAAAACGCGTTCGTGTTTGGTTTGCTAGGCAGTTTCCCTTGGCTACCCGATAGGCTCTTCTCGATCATGCCAGTCCTCTTCTCTCCACTAAAACACCAACAATCGAAGAACGATGAATGGCTATATATAGCGGTAGAGAGGCCTCTCATGAAGAGAAACGCCTCGTTTTGTAGCCAAGGATGACTTGCCTAACCGCTATCAAAACCCGGTATTTGGTTTGTTAGGCAGTCGTCTATGGCTACGTTGACAGGCTCTTCTCGATCATGCTAGCCCTCGTCTACCCTCTAATGCAGCAAATGCAAAGCAAACAAGTATGAACTCAATATATAGCCTTCTAATAGTATTTTTTTTTTGATACTATTGACTCTGTTACAATGCAGTATCTGTTCATAACTACTTTCTCAACCTACTGAAGCACAAAGAGTCAATACCGCCTCCACTGAGGCTCAGACCCACAACCTCCCATACGAGAGAGCAACTTGGTGCCACTAAACCACAAGGTCCTTCTAATAGTATGAAGAATCAGATTTGCCAATTTTCTTATATGTTCTCTACATGTCCTAATCTATAAATCTCCTAAACTCTCGTACGAAAAACTCGGTTGTACCAAACCGAGTGAAGAATCATATGGAACAGATCATATTTTGCAGGCTCAGCATGCCAAAGGAAGTGTTTCTGCACCTCCTTGACTGCTCTTCGCATCTCGAGATACTTCTCCTCGGTGATCGAGAGGAGAATGCTCTTCATATTCGGAATGTCCTTCTCCAAGATGAAAACCGCGAAGGATTCCCAGTTCAGAACCTCGAGAAACGGAGGCACATAGTTGTCAGAAATGATAACCGGGACACATTCATAGAAAATGGACTCCACAACTCGCGGGCTGTGGACTGCAAAACCCCGTGCACATATACAATACTTGCTGCTCTTCATAAGTTGTACATAATTCTTATTACCCTTGACATGAGGCAACCGATCGACTATTTTCATGTCGGGATCTTTCCCCCAGTACTTGATTAGCAACGGGCGCACTCTCCCATGCATGTAACCAGCAAAGAAGGCCAGGATAGGCCTCCTCGAAGAAGGCTCGCCACCAATATCATTGCGAGGATTCTTCGATGAACGAACATAGGTTGTTGGCAACGACACATCCTTTCCTATAACAAAGCCCGTTCTTATATCAGCATTGCAGAGGCCCCTTATGCAATTCAGCATTTCGCCTCTCGTTTCAGCCGGGGCCTGTGAAAGTAGTAATGTTTCATCAGAGCCACGAAACGAAAAACATAATCCTTAATGGCATCAAAAACATGAACTTTAAGTACCCAATCATGGCAAGCAGCAAGAAAATGATCTTCCCCATTAGTCCTGTTCCAGAAAGGGTACTTCCCAATAAGCGAGGCCACGTAGTTCTTCATGTAATCTATAAGGTTTTGGCGACTATGAGAGTGCGGGACATAAAGCGTCAACTCCAGCAGCCTCGAACTGAAAGGCAAGTAAAACAAGTGTGCTTCACTCGAAATTTCTGTGACAAAATGCTCGTTGGCTTCTAATAGCTTCAAGAACCATCCCTCTGCAGCGTATATTCCCTCGAGTATCGATGAATGGAAGATTGGCTTTTCCCCGTCCTTGTAGATATACACTTTAAGCTTTTCCTCCATAAGCTCATAGCTCCTGCAAAATCGTGTTCATTTAGAAACACGATTTCTATTAAGCCTAAAGAATTGATTTCTTCATCTCTTATGTCCTATCATGCCTCTATTAAGCCTAACGAATCGCTTTACAGAACAAGAAAACTAATGAATTTAAGGACTAAAAGACATAATTAAGAAACGAAAGCATTATATCAAGGCAAGTATGCTAAGTTATAACAGATAAATCGAAGAGAAGAATGACCAGATGGATGTTATGAGCAGTGCCTTTTGAACATCGAGACGTTATGGTATATAGGTCCATAGAGATCTCCATCGGGGCGAGCAGGAGCATTCATAATCTCTGCCTTCGCGTGAACCAGTTCATCATCAACGTTCGGGTGCCATCTCGAAATCTGCAATTAACAGAAAGGAAATGCAGATTAGTGAAGGGATATTCTTATCTGAACTCGATACTCGGTTACAATTTACAAACAGATATATGGGGAATTCACATACTGATGACTGGGGGAAAGCATATCTTTGCTGCAATAACTTGTTCATCTCAGATATCGGATACACTGGCGTTTCGAGGCTTCCCTTCACCGATGAATTGCCGGGCGGATTATATGCACTGAGATTACTCTGAGGCAATCTGGGGTTAACATTATATGTGCCCATTGAAGCTGTGGGGGGAATTGAGTTCAAATTGAAGCTTCTTGAAGGTGTTATGGCCATTGAAAGGGAACTTGAACTCACATTTTGCTCAGAAAGAGAAAAAGAATCATTTTTCTGAAGGCTATAAGCAGATGATGAAATGGAAGAGACATTTTTCCCAGCAAATGATACTTTCCCAGCAGACAGCAATGAAGACAACATAGTATCATATGGGAGTTCAAAAAACTGCAAAACCATAACCAAACCAAATGCTATCGCTAGTAAGAACATCAATTTCCTGGAATATGTTTGATTTCGACATATAAATCGAGATCTTTGATCCATATTGCACAGAAATAGGTCCCAAATCTTCTCAGTTTGCATCCATCTCCATCTGCACGTTCATGGACAGAGATAAATGTGATCAAACAGCACAATTTCTGCTAAAAAAAAAAGAGAAGAAAAAAACTGGGTAATAATGATCACTTACCAAGAAACAGAAAAAATGGAATCTTGATGGGAATTCTTTAATCTTGGCATGATGAACTAACAGCTGGCAAATGAATTTCTGTGCATGGAATTGGGAAGATCTCAAACTGGGTTTTAACGTTAAAAAAAAAAAAAAAAAAAAAAAAAAAAAAAAAATTAGGTTGACTGATTAAATCATGGATTAGAAACGTTAAGCTTCCAGATTCAATGGGAAAAGTGTCTTTATTTGTTTTGGTCTTGGGACATGGGATAAGAAATTCAAGAAAATGTGTGTGTAAAGTAGTTAGTCGGTGGTTAGAGGATTTCGTTATTTGCATAAACACCACAAAACCTTTTTTCTTTGTCTTCTTGTCCCATTTCTCTTTTATCATGATATTTTCTCACTGAAAATTTTTAATTATTACTTTTTTCAGGTATTTTATGTGATATATTAGGTGTTACATGGTTACAATGTTATGTTTTTACAAAATTACACCTCATACTTTATTAAAGATATAGACAGAAAGAGTATAACTTATACAATATAAAGTACAATTTTACAGAATACACAACATTTATGATATCATACTGTTATATTTAAATCATCAAAACAATGATCTGCATAGTATGAGTTAGATGTTACGATTTTGTTCTATAAAAATTATTTGTATAACACTATACTCAATGCAGATAATTTTGTCTTTTTAATGATATGTTAGGTATTACATAGTTACAATGTCACATATTTTGTAAAATTACATCTTGTACTTTATTAGAGATACAGAAAGAAAGAGTACAACTTATAAAGTATAAATTACAACTTTATAAAATACAAGACATTTACGATATCAGACGGTTATGTTTAAATCATTAAAATGATGAATTAAAATGATGATCTACTTAGTAAGAGTTGGGCTTAGAGACCAAATCTTTTCCTAAAAAGTTAAATATCCAATTCGAGTGCTCAATGACTCGACAGTCATGGTCAAATGTTAGTGCGCACAAAAAATCTGTCCACTTTGGACATAATCTCATAATCCCTACACTACTACTGTCGAGATTCAAACCATAATCTCCTCTCCTAAATATTGCCTACTGAACCAGTAAAGTAAGCCCATGTGAGCTTCTAGAGAGTAAATCTGATAAAAGACAATAGAAAGATTGGAAACCAAACAAAAAGCTAAGATCACATTTCTAACATTTTGGGCATAGAGGCCTTGCTCAAACAAAGAAGATGTGGTAACCAACACAATGAATCACCAAAAAACAACTATATACCACATTATCTTTGTACAGAAAACAAATCAGATCCTCTCTAAAAGATAATCTACAACATTCTTTTCCAGGAAAAAGATAATCTACAACATTCTCTACAGACAATTCTTATGCACAGGATATACAACACATGTATATATATGACATTTATCATCCGGTTCTTATCCCGAAAACTCTGTTGTGCCACACCGAATGCAGTATCATGTGGAAGGCGTCATATTTCACGGGTTTCATATGCCATAGGAAATGCTGTTGCACGAGCTTAACCCTTCGCTGCATCTCCCGAAATCTTCTGTCGGGGATAGATTTGAGGATGTTCTTCAAGTCCGGAATATCCTTCTCCGGGACAAAAACAGTGAAGGACTCCCAATTCAGCGTCTCGAAAAACGGGGGCACGAAGTTATCTGATATGATCACGGGAACGCACTCGTAGGAGAGGGCCTCCACCACGCGGGGGCTGTTGACTTCGTACCCCTTTGCACAAATGCAGTACTTGCTGCTCTTCATGTAGTCGACGTAGGCCGCTGTGTCCACGTGACCAAAGATTTTCATCTCGGGATCTTTGTTCTCCCAGTGTTGGAGCAGAATAGGGCGGAGATAACCGTGCATGTTCCCCGCGAAGAAGGCGAGGTTATGTCGCCTGGAAAGTGATTTCCCACCGATTCCTCTAAGGGGTTTCTTTGGCGATTTCACATACGTTTCGGGAAGAGATGCATCTTTCCCGAACTGGAAACCTTCTTTCGACGCATCCGCATTGCACAAAGCTCTGATGCAATTCGCCATTAGTCGCTTCGTCTCCGAAGGGGCCTGAAAATAGTAAAATTGTCATATATACAACTCGGAAAAACTAGTACATTTCACCAGCCAACACCGCTGGAAATTATGGAATTTCCGACCACCTGAAAGTGATCTTAAATCAAGTCGAAAGCCTTGTTCCGGCCACTTTTGGTATCCGGATACCAAAGATTTTTCCGGATACCAAAAGTGGCAGGAACAAGGCTTTCGACTTGATTTAAGATCACTTTCAGGTGGTCGAAAATTCCATAATTTCCAGTAGTGCAAGAATCTTTAATGTCGTAAATCTTGCAATTAATAAAAGCTCCTTCCATTCCAATGTTTCATTGGTCCCGAAAGGAGAAAAGCATCATAGAAGAAACACAAAGATCAGCAAGTCAACACGAATAATCGGTGAAGTTTAAAACATACCCAGTCATGGCAGGCAACAAGAAAATGGTCGGCTCCAATAGTTCGGTTCCAAAAATCGTGCTTTCGAATGAGCACATTAAGGTAATCACTCAAGCATTTGACAAGCGGTTTACGATTGTGAGAATCGGGAACATATAAAGTCTCCTCCAACATTCGGGAACTAAACGGTAAGTAAAATAGGTGAGCCTTCTTTGGATTTTTCGTCACAAATTGTTTGCTCGATTTCAGCACCTTCATGAACCAGCCCTCGGAAGCGTATATTCCTTTAAGAACAGGCGTGTGGAATATCGGTCTTTTCCCTTCAGCATAAACGTAGACCTTGAGAGTCTGCTCCATCAATTCATAGCTCCTGCATCAAATCACAGATGCTCGTTTTGGCACAATTTATAAAGAAAGTTTATCAACTTATGTTTGGTGAAATATACACTTCATAACCAAAGAGGTCAATAATGTTGAGCATATAATCATTAATGTGCAATCCAACTATAAGCCTAGGCTTTTAGTTGAGATGGAGTACATGCTTTAATTTGGTATCAGAGCCTGTTGCTTGGAACCCACCGCACACGTGAGTATCCAACTATAAGCCTAAAACGATGCGAGGATATAATTGAAAAATGAATATATACTTACCTTATAAACATGGATAAATTTCTATATAGAGGAGCATATAAGCCAGGAGCATCGCCTACTAGAGGTGCATCTTCAATCCGAGCTTTTGCATTTAGGATGTCTTGATCTGTTGGTGATGACCACCGTGGTTTCTAACAAAAAAAAATATTAAAAATTAGAGAGGGGCCAATTAAACTCATTCCCCATGGTGAAATGGGAATTGAAGCACTTTTGTTCATACCACTGAGCGAAACGAAGTGCGACTTTGTTGTAACAAAACATTCATTTCAGCTATTGACACTACACGATCCGCCTTCCTATCAGACCTATCCTTCTCGGCTGGAATGGGAGAACGATTGACTGTAGAAGGAGTGCCTTCATTGTTCTCGAGTGTAGAATCTTTATTTTGATCGGGAGACGTTGCAGGAGCTTTCGAATTTGCGTTCACATCACCACGGGGTGTCAACGGTGGAGGTAGAATTAATGGCAGAGACACAACAAAGGGAATAGCAGGACTCGTGTCCATGGTCCCGTTTTTCTCCAATGCTGGATCGATATAACTTCCCGTGTTTCCATCTGGTGAAGAAGTATTTTCGGGCCTCATATTTGATCCCGGGATATTGGATATCGTCTCTGGTTCAAAGCTATCATTTCTTCCCGAAACAGCCACCTGTGAATTGTTACCCAAATCAAAATCCTTGGATGGAAGTTCATCCTCGGGGTCAATATCATCCGACTCAGAAAACTCTTTAACGTCTCCATCCTTTCCACGAGAGGGGTCAGTTACGCTAGTTATATAATTGGTCACATTAGAGCCAGTGGTGTTCCAAACCTCCCTTATATGTGTAAGGTTCCCCGACACACTGGAATTACGAGTTGAACTTTGCATTTGGAAGCTGCCGATATAACCAAATGGATGACCGATAATCTGAATCAATACGACCGTGGCAAAAGCCAATGCAGCAAACCATATAGCCCTTCTACTCTCCAATACATTCCTACATCGAAATCCAGTAACCATCCTGGTTCCTGAAACAAGCAATTTGGTGAACAATAAGAACACTACTATCCCTGGGAAAAAAAATTGCAGTTTTCTAACTTTTCACATCTATTCATTATTGAACCCAATGTCAATGCAAAACAAACTCTCAAATCTACATAACATAATAACCCATATAAGTGAAAGGACACCCAAAAGGGCATTAGAGAAAGAAATTAGAAAGCCACTTCAAGAACCCATTCAATCAAGAATCAAGAGTAGAATCAAGAGTGGATTCAAGAACCCCAAATTCACAAAATCATTAAACAAACAAAGGGCTAATAATAATAAGCCAATAAGCTAGATGGAATTGGTGAAGAGAAGTAGAACTGACATGCAATGAACTTCCTTCAAAGATAAGAATTTCTTGCACCAGTCACCAGATCAAGAATCAGTTTGGACAGCTCAAGAAACACAAAGAATCTAAAAACTTGGGGGCTCTGCCAGCTTCTTTTTGTTTTAGTCAAAAAAAAAAAAAAAAAAAAAAATTGGTTGGAAAAAATATTCAATTAGATTGACTTTTAAAAAAAAAATTGCACTTTCCCCACATGCCAAACAGAGCATCACCACTCAGTCCATATACCCCGATATATATACACAGACAGATATACAACCACTAATCCATACATACATACAACCATATATACATGCATATATATACATATATGTTTGAGATACCTGTAAGGGGTTGGAGGGTGCAACCATGGCTGACTGTAATGGAGTCTTCTTGTCGAAAAGGAAAAGGAAAAGTGAGGAAGGAAGAGGTCTGAGGTGGCATAAATTATTGAGACAAATATGCCCATGTAGTTGTTGGAGATATTTCATAAATGCCCCACCCATTATTGCTGGCTTTTCAGCATAATTGATGATAGCGGCGCTGTTTATGTAATTGACTAATGCCCTAATTTCCATTTTCATTCTTTCTTGGTTTGGGGGACAATGATTTAAAGAAAGGAACTAAAAAGGGCAGAGGCTAAAAGTGGAAATAGATAAAACATTGTATGTTTTTTTTTGTTTATCGAGGAAGGACTAAGCCCGGTGCCTTACAACAAACACTCTTTCGAGATGGTTTTCACGCGCGGCAGAGCACTCAAATCAAACAACAACGCATCCTTAACGCTAGATAAAACATTGTACTCCATATTTGATTTAGTAATCCACATCTTTATTCTTTTTTTTTATTATTATTATTGGGAAAATGGACAAATAAGCCCTCAAACTTTACCTAAGAAGTTAATTAGGCCTTTAAGCTTTTTAAAGTAACAATTAAATCTATCAACATTGTATTTTGGTGCAATGAAGTTCTAAAATCAGTTAGTGACCTACAATCACATGTCACTAGGGTTCCAGTCAATATTTTAGATATATTTTCAGCAAAAAAGTGACCGGCAACCATCGCCGGTGAATCAACGGAGGAAAAGGCGACCCAGTTAGGGATCTAATAATCTTGTCTTCTCCTCCGTTAATTCACCGGTGGTCATTTTATTGCTAGAAATATCATCAGAGTTGGTTGAAATGTTAATCGGAACCCTAGTGGCCTGTGATAGAATGTCACTAACGGGTTTTTGGACTTCATTGCACCAAAATACAATATTTATGGGTTTAATTGCTACTTTAAAAAATTTAGAGATCTAATTGACTTCTTTATGTAAAGTTCGATGATTTATTTGATCATTCTTCCTTTTTTATTTAATACTCGTATCAAAAATAATTAAGCTTTTTTTCTTGAACAGTGCTAATATTATTCATTTTAATATTTATCTTGTTTAACATGACAATATAAGATTAAGCGTTACAATTTTGTCCCATAGAATTAAGGGTGCAAACAAAGTCAAGATATTTGTTAGATATTTGATCAAAGTTTAATTTGAGTTTCGTCGAATTCAATTTCGAGTTAAGATCGAATTTAAAATTTGTTCGCTCATGAATCATCGATCAAACCTCTCTCTCTCTCTCTCTCTTTATATATATATATATATATATATATATATATATATATATATATATAAACATAATAAATTTCAATCCAGGTTATACCCCTGGTTTATATTCGTTTTTTCTATTAATTTTTTTTGTACCTTATGCTATAAAAGTTGTACTACATAATTTTTGGACAAAAATATCATTGCCGTTATAGCTTATGTTATCTTTCCACATTATTATTACCATGGACATGCATACACAATATTTTTTTCTTACATCCTTCAATAGTAAGTTTGAATTCATTTAGGTTTTAATTAAAATGTTACCATAGTTATATTTAGTAATTTATCATTTCTATATTTTTTACCTCAATAATATTAATATGAATGATACAATTACATATATACACACACATTATTATTTTTAAAAAATTAATATAACTAAGATTTTAATATTTAATTTTAATATTGGACATATATTTTTTGCGCATCGCGCATATAAAATACTAGTGTATATATATATATATATATATATATATATATATATATATATATATATATATATATATATATATATATATATATATATATATATATATATATATATGGCACAAGTGTCAAATAGGTCCATCAACTACTACGAAGTGCTCAATTCCCACCATGAACTAAATTAAGTGTCAAATAAGTTTATCTACCAGCTAAATTCATTCAATTGATATTTTTTACAGGTTACCAACAAGTTGCCTATTTAATTATTAAAATAAATAATTAATTTTTTTAAAAAAATAAATAATTAAAAAAAATTAAAAAAAAAATAGAAAGAGAACAGCCACCGGCTGTCCTCTCCGGACAGCCGGTGGCTGTTCTTTCTTTTTTTTTTTAAAAAAAAAATTGTTTAATTTTTAATTATTTATTTTAATAATTAATAGGCAACCTGTTGGTAACCTGTAAAAAATGTCAATTGAACAAATTTAGCTGGTAAATAGACTTATTTGACACTTAATTTAGTTCATGGTGAGAATTGAACACTTTGCAATAGTAGATGGGCCTATACACTTGTGCCATATATATATATATATATATATGTATATATATATATATATATATATATATATATATATCAAACTCAAGCTCAATTGAACTAATTCGAATCAATCAAACTAAACTTGATCCTTATAAAAATTAAGGAGTAAAGTAACTATAAGATTTCAAGTTCGACTTCTAGTGAAAGTGGCCTATTAATCTATTACCTCTGGATAGTAGATGATCTCGAGTTACACTCAAGCCTAAAATTTTAAATTTGATCAAAATTGAGCTCAAATACAAACCACCAACTATAACTATTTTGAATTTGAACTCGAGTTACTCTAGATTCGAATTTAGCTTGACTCATTTACATTCCACATACAATATTATCGAAATGAACATAAATATATTTTATGAATTTATTTTAGCAAATTATATATCGGAACTGTTTCAGCAATTTAGTTACTACTTATAAAAAGAAATTTTAATTTATTTAGCACTTATTAATTATTACATATTAATGTGTTACTTGATTGTTGCATATTTGTCTCTACTCCATAATATATTATGTTGTCAAATTTTGTATGGCATTTGTTGATAATAATTTAGTATATAAAATTTAAAAAAACGATACTAAAAGGTATGTTGGGCTGCGGCCGCCGCTGGCCGCGAAATTAGCTGATCTCATATTCTCATTGAACCCCATTGTCGGTGGGGCTTCACGGATCGCATTCAATGCACCTATGCACGTATACTTACTCAAGACATTAAATGCAACATAATTCCTAGGAAAGTGTTTTTTTTTTAAAGAAAGAGAGGCTAAGTCTCAAGATTATCTAATTCTACGGATACAAGCACCACCCACGTCACGGATGAGAAAGCTAACTAGCTAGGCCTTCCGGAGCATCATTGAAGACCTAAGTGCCCCAATCTTTACTTTGAATCATATTCGCCAAAAAGTCGACACATCGATTTCCTTCCTTGAAAATCTGATTGAACGAGATTCCATCGAATTTGTTCGCCATGTTAATGCATTCAGCCAAGAAATCGAGTACTGCCGACATGATTTACCTCCTTGTCTTCTCGCAACAAATCAACCACTAATTTGGAGTCCATCTATACCATAATTCTCTGGAATCCTTTTTCAAAACAAAGTTGTAGACCCTCTCTTAAGCTTCAAAACTAGTTGGGACGCCAATCTTAACCATAAACCCCCACACCATTTTCCCAGTCGACTCCCGAACCAAACCAACAGCTGAAGCCAGACTCGATCCTTTTTTTAACAGCTCCATCGCTGTTTAATTTGAACCACCCAAGGTAAGTGTTATGTGTGTTGGACCAAACAAGGTATGCCACCCATTAAGTTTTTTTGTTTTTGTTTTTTTGTTTTTTTGTTTTTTTTTTTTGTTTTTTTGTTTTTTTTTGTTTTTTGTTTTTTATTTTTGTTTTTGTTTTTGTTTTTTTAATCGTCATTTTATCCTTCAATTGTTTTTCAACTATTAATGTAGTTTTTAGTTTTCAATTTCAACTAATTTAATCATCGAATTATTTAAAATTTTGTTAATTAAACTCTTTGAGTATCAAATTGACAAAATTTTAAAAATGTAGAACTCACCATTTTGGTAACTCGGAAGGTTTAATTGACGAAATTTTAAACATTTAAAGGATCAACTTAGTTAAAATTGAAAACTAGGGAATACATTGACAGTTATGAAATAATTGAGAGATCAAAATAGTAATTTTTTCTTTTTTAATAATCCTAGTTTCTCGATTTCACAGGAACCAACTCAAATCAAAATCTCCAATGTTCGTATCAGAAATCGAACTCATACTTTGTTCTAAAAAGTAAATTTTAAGTAAATTGTTCATCTACTAGATCAATGTCTTTGGGAGATTTTAATAATTTTACCAAATATTGTTTACAATATACTAGGATTTTCACTCGTGCGATGCACGAAATGTATTTGTTATAATATATTAAAAATATTTGAGTCTTTATACAATTATTTAAATTATAACATCAAATATTATATAGTGCAATTGAAGATATCAGGGCCAGATTTGAGGCTGTGCAAGCTGGGCTACCGCACAGGGCCCCCAATTTTATAGGGCCCCCAATTTTTTAGGACTCAGTATACCTAATATACCTCAGAAATTTAAAAAAAAATACAATTAAACGTAAAAAGATTGAGAGGAAGCAGAAAAGTGGCGATGTTTCCCAATGTTTCTTCGTAAAAAAAGATTTACAATACCCCAGTTTCCGTTGTTTGTTCCAATTATTTGTCTCCTTTAGCGATTGGCAAATGAATATATGGAGGATTGAGAGGAAATAAGGAATCAGAAATTCAGAAGAGTTCAATTCATCTTAGTATTCTTCAGTGAGTCGACATCTGCAATTCATCTCAGTCTCTCAGTTAGTGAATCGCTACGTCCACAACTCCGCACTCCACGAAATGACACTGACGAACCTCACGAGCGGAATTACGGAAATATGGAATCGTCCACAACTTCAGTACTTTGAACCTTCTGCGTTTCTCCATAGCATTGTAGCAAAGTAGCGATTATAATTTAATCATTTTGGTGATTAGCAAATGGTTGCATTTCCGGCAAATCGACATTCGGCAATCTACCTTGAACAGTCGGCCCTGCTGCGTTTCTGGCTTTTTGCCTTTATTGCCTTGAGTCTTCTGGTCAGCAGGTCAGACCCACCGTTTTTTTTTTTTTTTGTTTTTTTTTTGTTTTGTTTTGTTTTTTTGTTTTTTTTTTTGTTTTTTTTTTTTTTTTTGCGTTTTTTTAATAATTTATTCAGCGTTTTTTTAATCAAATTTATTTTGAGTTTTTGCAGGCATGTAGAGTATAGACTTAGACTCACAGTGTTTCATTGTTTCAATCTGAAGGCAGTAGGCAGTAGTAGACGAAGAACATAAACAAAAAATTAAGGGCTTTTCGATTAGGTTGTTTAAATTCTTTTTCACTTTAAATTTTTAATTTTATATAAATGTAAACTGTGTAATATGTTTGCTCCTTGCCTCTTTGTTAGAGTAGCATATTTTCATATTATGGCTCCCAACATTAGAAAATATGAATCTGGCCATAAAAAAGTTGTTTGAATTTTTATTCTTTGTATTGAAAAATCATATATTTTACGGTATTGGTTGTAAATATTGTCTTTATACTTTTGATAGAGGTAAAAGGGTTGTAAGGCCTCATTTCTTTACAAGAACGGGGCCACCAAAATAAAAAAACTGGCACTGGAAGATATGGTCTGGATCGTTTATGTTTGTTGATGCTATCATTGCTTGAATTCGATCAAATAATTGCTCAAATTAATAGCTAATGTGTAGATGTACACATGCGGTGCTGTAACTTTAAAGATTTTATATATCATTGTTTAAGATTTTTATAAATTAGACAAATGTTCTTGTTCTCTAGCAACTTAGTTATAGTAATCAATTGTTATCCTAATTCATTTGCATAGATGATATATTTTTGTCTAGATATATAGCAATTTTGTCATTTTGGAAAAAAAAAAAAAACATAACATCAACGATTGTATTTACACATTATTGAAAACCTCTTTGTAGACGAAATTGATAGTCGCGACACAATCCTGTACATCCTCGTCTAGAGCTAACACCTTCAGGCTATCAGGATGGGTGACTCGGGAGAAAGTCACGTACAATTGTCTGTGATCAAATACCGGTTTTTTTAGCAATAACCCAATGTGAGTTAGTGTTTGGCCTTGGCTTTTGTTGATAGTCATGCCATATGCAAGCATCAACGGGAATTGTTTACACTGGAACTTGAAGGGCAATCTCGTATCAGAAGGAGTGAGAGATAATCGGGGATAAGAACTTTGGTTCTTTCATGTGTCCCATAACCTTTCTTGCTTCGACAATGTGATCTGTCAATCTTGTGATGATGAGCCGCGTCCCGTTACAAATACTAAGAGAGTGGACTATGTTTCGCAATAACATAACAGGTGCACTGACCTTTAATGTCAATGAATGATTAGGAAGATATGACAATCTCGAACTATTTAAGAATTCAGGAGTGTATACTTCTGATAGATTTTCATTGTCTGATTCTGCCCTTACACAAAGAGTCACAACTTAAATATGTTTGTCCTTCTGCAGTATTCATGTCGCACATGTACTGATTAATTTGATCAACGACATCTAAAGTCAGGGAGAGAATTGCTTGGCCTTCTAGCTGTGACTCATCAAGCATGTCATATCTCGAGCTTGGGAATGTGCTTTCCACTATAGTTGCTATGGGATCATGTCCACACTTCAACAAAAACCATGCCAGAATATCGATCTCAAATGAACCGCCGTTTACAACCCTTGCAATCTCATCTCCGATGTCTGTAATCCATTTTGAAAACCAATCAATCGTTTGTCTATCTTCCTTTGAAGCTAAGGTCCGTAGTTTCAAGTTCTTTGTGAGCCTTAATACCTTGCAATTTGTCCACAGGTATGAAGAATTAATAGTTGCTCCGACAACTACTGGTCTTGTTGCTTTCGGAATAACAGGTAGGATATGTCTAAAATTGCCGCCCAAAACTATTGTCTTTCCACCAAAAGTCTTTTCAGCAATACCCAGTATATGACACTTTTAGTCGTACTTACAAATGGTACAATATCCCCACATATCAAAATTTTTAATCTCCTTAATTTACTTACCCTTGAGACTACTATGTACATTTGAGCATGATTAAAGACCGGCATTCTAAAAAATAATCCCACGTGTGATAGTGTTTGCCATTGACTTTTATTTATTATCATGACATATGATAGCATCAAAAGAAATTGCTTTCTTTGGAACTTGAAAGGCAATCTTGAATCATAAGGTGTTAACGACATTCGAGGAATTAAAAATACCTTTGTTCCTGCATTCGTTCGACACATAATCTGAGCTTCCAAAACATAATCAACCAACCTTGTAACCATTACACAATTTTAATGAGTGATCTATATTTCTCAATACCATCACATGTGGTAGATTTCAGCAATCCATTGTGCACCTTGTAACCATAATCTATATTTTTCTTATTAATTGTGTTGCCTATTCATATTTTGCAGTGTTAAATGTTGAAAAAAAAAATCAGTAGATTATGATTTTAAGTTTCTGTCATTTTGTATCTATTTTTTTTTAATACTTAGTAGCTTATAGTTTAAAGTCTAACATATTATTTTATGATTATTAATTGTGTTGCATATTCATATTTTGCAGTGTTATTTCTCAGAAAATTAATATAGAACATTATGACTTTAAGTTTATGTCATTTTGTATCAATTTTTTGAAACCTGAAATCTTATAGTTTAAATTCATATATCAAATTGTTGGAGATTACATTCAAGATGGTGGTTTAAAGTGTGTAGAAGGAAGACACTCTTGTCCCACATTGGAAGGATAAGAGACTAATTCCCACCTTTTTAATACCAACCCATTTGGAAGGCTTAAACTATTGTAAAGAGAGAAGGAAAGGGAACCCCACACGCACGCGCCACTGCCCCGCCCCGCGCGTCGCGGTGTGGTCACGGAATTTTAATTCCGAGTTTTTTCCCTTTTAGAGGTAGATTTCATGTAGAAATCTACCATCCACACATTAAGTTGTGGTGGAACAAGTCTTCCTATTCTTGTGGGCATTTTCACCACAATTCTTCCTAAAATCGTGGAGCATGAATGGTTGAGAGGGGAGGGGCGGGTATTTTCAATACTATAAATACCCTGCTTCTCCTCAGTTCTATTCACTCATCAAATTCTCTTCTTCTCTTTTGCAATCCTGAGCTTCGGTGTTAACTGGTCGAAAGCAACCGGTAAGACTACAACCGTCTCCGGGAAATTTTTGCTTTTAAGGTAGTGTCTTGCACACGTCACCGATCCCTTCAGGATTCATCCATTCTCAGCCTATAAAAAAACAGTAGCCCCAGGTCTACGGCATATTCTATCCGAATTTTCCCCAACAGTTAAAAGCAAAAATTATATTTTTATTTTCGGATATCATGTCGAGCTTCGTACCTAAGCCTGCATCTGACCTTGCCAAGCTTCAACCTCTTGACGGCCTAAACTATCGTCGTTGGGCAGTCAAGATGCTCATACACATCGAATCTGCTGAACTGGAATACGTTCTCACGTATGTTCCTGAACCTGCTCAAGCGAAAGCTGCTGACTCCACTAATCCTCAAACAGAGGACGACTCCACTTCAACCCCTGCGTCTGTAACACCTGAACCTGTCACAACTGACAAGTCTCAAGACATCCGGGCTAAGTTCGAGCGGGACAACAAAACGGTTCGCGGTCTTCTGCTGCATCACATGTATGACAACCTGTTAGACATCTATGCTAAATACAAATCTGCAAAGGAGCTCTGGGACATGCTCAAAAGGAAGTATGGCGCTGATGATGCTGGTCGGAGGAAGTACACGGTTGGGAGGTAGCTCAACTATCGTATGGTGGATACGAAACCAGTGATCGAGCAAGTGCACGAATATGAGAATCTGGTGTCCGACCTTGAAGCTGAACTCATTCCGGTAAGTGAAGTGCTACAAACCTATGCCTTACTTCAGAAGTTGCCAGAATCCTGGGGAGAGTTTCAAAACAAAGTAAAACATGAGTCCAAGGATTACTCCTGGGAAGAGATGGTCAATCACATCAACATAGAAGACGCCTATCAACAAAGGTCTGTTTCTAATTCTGGTACGTTAAAAGCTAACATGGTTGAATCCAGTGATGTTAAAGGTGATAGGTCCAGAACTGGGAGTGGTGGACAAAATAAAGGCTGGAAAAGAGGAGTCAAAGCCAACAATAATAACAAGTTCAAAAACAACCAGAAGAAAGGGAAATGAGGACCTTGTTACGTCTGTGGGAAGAACGGTCATCGCGCGGCGCAGTGCTATCGCCGATGGGGCGCAAACGACCAAAAGAATGTCCAACAAGAGAACAAGCATCAAGTAAACGTGGTGGAAGAGACTGAAGTCATAGCAGCGGTTGTGACGCTGGAAGAAAATGTGGTGACTGGCACGGAAGAATGTATCATAGACACTGGAGCAACTCGTCACTTCTATGCGAGTAGGATCATGTTCAAGGAGTTTCGTGCCTTCACTCAAGGACAAGGAGATCAAGTCTATATGGGAAACGACAGTACTGCTGAGGTAAGAGGAGTAGGAACAGTAGAGATAAAACTCAATTCCACAAAGTATCTGTTTCTGTCTAATGTGTTGTATGTCCCCACTATGCGGAGGAACTTGGTCTCAGGGCCCTTGTTGGTTAGGGCCGGGATCAAACTTGTGTTTGAATCCGAGAGAATGATCATGACCCGTAGAGGGGAGTACCTAGGGAAGGCTTATTTACGTGGGGGGCTGTTTGTTTTGCCCCTCATTGCATTCACTTCTGCAAACTTTGAAACTTTCATGAATAATCTTGCCACACGTAATGGCGGTTCTGCGTATATTGCTGTTTCTTTTGATGTATGGCATGCTAGATTAGGACATGTTGGTCTCAAATGCATGAGTAGATTAAAAACCATGAATATGCTCTCAAACGTGCAAGGTGATTCGCTTTCTCAATGTGAAGTATGTGCTGAAGCTAAACTAGCTAGAAAACCTTTCATTACTGCAAAGCATCATACAACTTGTGCTCTAGAGTTAATACACTCAGACATAGCTGATTTTAAAAATACTGAGACAAAAGGGGGAAAGCGATATTATATATCCTTTATAGATGATTTCACTCGTTTTTCAAAGATATATCTGCTTAGAACTAAAGATGAGGCAGAACAAAAATTTGTAAGCTTTAAAACTGAAGTACAAAATCAGTTAGAGAAAAAGATAAAAAGACTTAGGTCTGACAGAGGTGGAGAGTATGAGTCTACCTCCCTCAAAACCTTTTGTGAAAAACATGGAATCATCCATGAGGTGACATCACCCTATACACCATAACAAAATGGTGTGGCTGAAAGGAAAAATAGAACCCTAAAGGAAATGATAAATGCTTTTCTAATAAGCGCAGGCGCTTCTAACTCTTTGTGGGGGGAAGCTGCATTAACAGCTAATCACGTCCTCAACAGGATACCTCACAAAGGTTATGAAAAAACTCCATATGAGCTATGGAAAGGTTACGCACCCAATCTAAAATACTTCAAAGTGTGGGGGTGCCTGGCCAAGGTAGGTCTTCCTTACTTCAAGAAACCTAATCTTGGCCCTAAAACCTCAGATGCAATATTTGTGGGGTATGCAGAAAACAGCGTTGCATATAGATTTATGTACCTAGACGGCCACTCTATGTGCGAGGCACGAGAGGCCGAGTTCTTCGAACACATATTCCCACTAAAACGTGGATCAAATACCTATGAAAAAGTCTCGTCCTCACTACCTTCAACTTCTGAAACAGAACTTGAGTCAGAAGAACCTAGAAGGAGTAAGAGAAAAAGGACTGAGACAAGTTTTGGGCCTGATTTCATTACGTACATTTCTGAACTAAATGACATTAATGAAATTTCTGATCAGTTTGTGTGTCAGTTAATTCTAGAGGAGGAACCAAAATCCTTTGAGGCAGCTATGCGCTCAGTCGATGCGGTCTTCTGGAAAGAAGCAATACAAAGTGAGCTAGATTCAATCAAATCTAATCACACTTGGGAGGTTGTAGACCTACCGAAGGGAGCCAAACCTATTGGCTGTAAGTGGATCTTCAAAAGGAAGATGAGACCCGACGGGTCGATTGAAAGGTTCAAAGCAAGACTTGTGGCTAAGGGATATAAACAGAAGTTTGGTGAAGACTACTTCTGCACCTATTCTCCTGTAACGAAAATAGCCACAATACGCATATTGTTTGCTCTAGCGTCTTCTCACAAGTGGCTGGTCCATCAAATGGATGTAAAAACAGCTTTCCTAAATGGAGACCTGGAAGAAGAAATTTACATGTCTCAACCTCCTGGATGCGCCAACCCCGGGCAAGAAGGGAAGGTATGTAGACTAGTAAAATCCCTATATGGGTTAAAGCAAGCTCCCAAACAGTGGTACGAGAAGTTCCACAAAACACTGTTAGATCTGGGATACACGGTAAACCGATTAGATGCTTGTTTGTACTCAAAAGAGATTGAGTCTAGCATTGTCTTGATTTGCATTTATGTAGATGATATGCTAATCTTTAGCTCAAATATAAATGCAATAAAAGAGACAAAGAGGTCTCTGTGTGACAAGTTTGATATGAAAGATATGGGCGAAGCTGATGTGATACTTGGAGTGAAAGTCATCAAAGAGAAAGATGACTACAAGTTATCACAGGGTCACTACACAGAGAAACTGCTAAAGAAGTTTAACAGTTTTGAAGTGAACCCTGCTCAAACTCCATATGACCCAAGTGCAAAACTCTCGAAAAACATAGAGGCAAGTGTGTCTCAAGAGGAATATGCGAAAATAATCGGGAGTCTGATGTTCTTAATGAACTATACCAGACCTGATATTGCACTTGCGGTAAATCGACTAAGTCGATACACTCATAATCCCAGCGATACCCATTGGAATGCACTAAAGAGGGTGTTACGCTATCTAAAGGGAACGATGAACTGGGGATTGCACTTTTCTGGCTTCCCAGCGTCCCTAGAGGGGTATTGCGATGCGAATTGGGTGAATGATAGTGATGAGGTGAGCTCCACCAGCGGGTATGTTTTTACCATGGGAGGAGCAGCAGTATCGTGGAAGTCCACGAAACAGGCGTGCATAGCCAGATCAACGATGGAAGCTGAATTTATAGCTCTTGATCTAGTAGGGCAAGAGGCTGAGTGGCTTAGAAACCTACTGGCGGACGTGCCATTTCGGGGGTCTTCTACGCCGTCAGTGCCCATACATTGTGACTCGCAAGCTGCGATATGCGTAGCAAAAAATAGTGCCTATAATGGTAAGAGGAGACACATAAGAGTCAGACATGAGTCTGTGAGACAACTAATTCTAAGTGGCGTACTTTCACTAGAATATGTGAAATCCGAAAAGAACATTGCAGATCCTCTCATGAAGGGGCTAAACAAAAGAGCCATCCTCGAAACATCGAGGGAGATGGGCTTAATATCGATACAGTGAGCAAACTTCGAGGTTATATAAACCTGGAAGCTAAACACACCTATTCAGAGATAGGTCTCAGGTCAAAGAGTTGACCTTACGAGAAAGACCAAGTTATATATTCTTAAAGGGTGATTGCTGGTGTGTGAACTGAGTTCGAAACTAACTCTTCTTTCGATAGTTCAAGATCTAATTCACTATCAAAGGAGAAAGTTACTCAAGTCACTACGTGTCAGTTCAAGGTACAACCACTGACATTAAGATCAGCACTCATGCCAGAAATTCCGTCTTCTTCTTGCCACCTTGAATGTGTGGGGATTGTTGGAGATTACAGTCAAGATGGTGGTTTAAAGTGTGTAGAAGGAAGACACTCTTGTCCCACATTGGAAGGATAAGGGACTAATTCCCACCTTTTTAATACCAGCCCATTTGGAAGGCTTAAACTATTGTAGAGAGAGAAGGAAAGGGAACCCCACACGCGCGCGCCGCCGCCCGCCCGGCACGGTTCGGTTCGCACGCGCGTCGCGGTGTGGTGTGCGTTTTACTCGGGCTTTTATTTTAATTCCGAGTTTTTTCCCTTTTAGAGGTAGATTTCATGTAGAAATCTACCATCCACATATTAAGTTGTGGTGGAACAAGTCTTCCTATTCTTGTGGGCATTTTCACCACAATTCTTCCTAAAATCGTGGACCATGAATGGCTGAGAGGGGAGGGGCGGGTATTTTCAATACTATAAATACCCTGCTTCTCATCAGTTTTATTCACTCATCAAATTCTCTTCTTCTCTTCTGCAATCCTGAGCTTCGGTGTTAACTGGTCGAAAGCAACCGGTAAGACTACAACCGTCTCCGAGAAATTTTTGCTTTTAAGGTAGTGTCTTGCACACGTCACCGATCCCTTCAGGATTCATCCATTCTCAGCCTATAAAAAAACAGTAGCCCCAGGTCTACGACATATTCTATCCGAATTTCCCCCAACACAAATGACACTGTAGTTAAATCAAAATAAAACTGTAGTTGTGTTGAACTGAAACTGCAGTGTATACAAAATGAAATTGAATAACAGAATTACTTTTTGTGAAAGGGTGCGGAACGACGGGAAACTGATGCTGTTTCCTTTCATTAAACAAAACGACGTCGTTTTGATGCGCGGTACATAATCAATTATGCACCGCGGTGCACGATATAATTTGCCTTTTTTTTTTTTTTAATTGTTGGCCGAATTGGGCTAGGCAAGGCCAAACAAATAATTCACGGCAAATTATGCTGTGCAACCATGTGCACCATGCATGGTGCACACTGTTCTATGTTCATAATTACTGAACTATATGTTCATAATTATAAAGTTATACTAGTTTTTTTATGCGCTTTGTGCGAATGAGATAATGCCCAATAATTATTTTTAAATAAGTATTTCAAAGTATATCAATGCAATATTATATAAGAGATGTTCATGCTATTTCCAGGTAAATAAAAGTTGAATTTGTTTATTTAAATCGATAATTTAAAGTATATAAATGCAAGATAATATATGAGAGATTGATTATAATTGTCACTAAAATAAATTTTTGCAACTTTGTAATAATGCTAAAGTGATAGTCAAAATAAATACTACTTTTGGTTTAAATTTCTCTAATTTTTCTTAATTCTCTTTTGAGTAGCATTGTTATTGTTTTCATCTTCAGTACATGTCCTCTCTCTTTTTATTTTATTTTTATTGGTAGTGTGTCATGTGCAATTAAGTTACTAGTGGCAGCATAGAGGGATTTATCATGCAATGAGATTATGGTGTGGAAGTTTTAGATTTGCCTTGCTTTGTATATGACTGAGATTTTAGTTGTAATACAACTCTTTATCTTACAAACACTTATTGATATTTAATAGTGGTAGTTTTTCCCCTACATGTTTCATGTGTTGTGAGATGTGCAGTGTGTCATAGGTTATCATGTGAAAGTATTGAACAAAATATTAATATTTATTATATTTGTATAAAATACTTGGTAAATAAATATATTATAACATGTTTTGTATTATAACTTTGATATTTAGTTACAAGATAATGTAAAAAGAAGACAATGAACAATGTAGTGAATATAATAAATTAATAAATTTGAAGGTAAGGAATTTTTGAATTGTAAAGATAATATAACTAATGAAATTATATTTCTTTTAATTATTTTTATAATGAATAAGTTTTTTTTTTTTTTTAAAATAAAGCATTATAGACATCTAATTCTAAATTAATTAAATGCATATGTATTATTTTTTGTTGTAGCTACTAATTTATTTAATTTAATAAGAGTAATAAAGTGACATACATACTTTTCATCAACAATAATGAAATCAATGATTTTTTTAATTTCCCATCCTTGTTGAGACAAATTATTTTGAGAGTTTGCCCAAGAGAATTGCTGTCAATAGAGAATGATAATAAATAATTCAAAATATATGGTTACAATAGATATTAATATAATGATATAGTAAAAATTAACTTACAAATTTCTTTAAAAATTTTCATGCATTGATAAAATTTTGATGTGTAAACTTGTTTAATTGGAGTTAGTAGGATATTAACATTGTCAATTATTTAGAAAATGATCCTACCGTTTTATAGTCCATGTTTAATTGTATTTATAATCAACAACTTTGTAGTTAGGCCGCACATGTCTGGCAATGATGTAAGAACAATTTTGTCCGATAAAAAAAATAGTATAATATTTGTGAAGTAATGTACAATTGTACCATTATAAAAAAAATACAAAAAATATTAATACCATAATGACCTAAATCATTCCAATAATGCAAAATCATTCCAATTGTTGAACTCTGTATTCACAAATCACAGAACTAATGTTCATAATTTGATAACTATACAATTTAGAAATTATGAATCTACAGTACAGATATTATGAATCCGACAGTATAGAAATTATGAATCTACTGTATAGAAATTATGAATCTACTGTATTTAAATTATGAATCTAAGGTTTAGAAATTATGAATCTACAGTATAGAAATTAAAAATCTATAGTATAGAAATTATGAATTTGGAACCGTGTGCACCTTGCATGGTGCACACGGTCGCCCTACCCAAAATGACGTTATTTTGGTGCATTGTCCAAAAAAAAAAAAATCTTTTGTTTTGAATATACATAAACTCATAACAGAATGCACATAAACTCATAACTGAATACACATAATCTAACATCTAACATGATACATAATACACAGAAGCTCTTAACTGAATACATAGAAGCTCTTAACTGAATACACAGAAACTCTTAACTGAATACACAGAAACTCATAACACAATACATAGAAACTTTTAACTGAATACACATAATGGGGTTTGAGCCGTTTGGACGGACGGAGTTACGTCAGCCATTGAAACACGCTCGTTTTTGCTTGGGCACACATTGCTATGTGCGCCGTGGTGCACGATATAAATTGTTGTTATATCGTGCACCAGGGCGCATTGTGCGCCCCGCCCTACCCAAAATGACGTCGTTTTGATGCATTATCCGAACAAAAATCCTCTATTTCGAATACACATAAACTCATAACTAAATACACATAATCTAACATGATACATTATACACAAAAACTCTTAATTGAATACACAGAAACTCTTAACAGAATGCACAGAAACTCATAACATAATTCACAGAAACTTTTAACTGAATACACATAATGAAGTCTGAGCCATTTGGACGTATGGAGTGATGTCAGCAATTGAAACACACGTGTTTTGACTTTGGATACACATTACTATGTGCGCCGCGATACACAATATAAATTATTCATTTTATGCCTGGGCGCACATTACTATGTGTACCGTGGTGCACGATATAAATTGCGTACGTTTCATAATTCATCATTTTGTTTAATGAATTATGAACACAAAAATTAAGTCCAACAATAAAATAGGCCCAAAATAATAAAAGCTTCTTAAATAAAAACTTGATCTGGCCCAAATGGCACAAAACCCAGGCCCTAATCAATATAGAGTAAAACCCTTGATTATTTCCCTACTCAATCGACGACTACTGCCGCCGCGCCTGTCGTCTTCCTTCGACGACAACCATCGCCACTACTGCCGCCGCCGCAGGTTTTTTATTTTGTTTCATACTGGAAAATATATATGCATATACATATAGACAGGTTCCTCCTTTAAAAAAAAAAAAAAAAAACTCCTTCGTAAATCATATATATGTCATACGGAAAAAATATATATTTAAAGCCTGTTTCCTAATTTGACATGTCTCAATATATAAAGCCTATTTAACATTTTGATTTTCTTTTTATTTTTCTCTTTTGTTTAAACTCTTCCCTCCTGTCCGTTGTCCAGAGCTCTGACTAAACCCTAGCTAAACCTCGAACTATTAACACTGAAATTCAGAGTTTCACACTTTCACTACCTTCTGGTGATGGAGATAGACAGAGGCGATGGTCGAACGGCGAACCAGCTCAGGCCACTGGCTTGCTCCCGTGGCGTCCTCAACCGTGCCCATGGCTCCGCCAGTTGGTCCCAAGGTATATATTTCAAACCCTGTTTCCTAATTTGCAGCCATTATACAGGTTGTCTGATCGAGTTACTCCGAGATTCTTAATCATCATCCAATTCTCAGCTTAATTTCTTGCCAAACCCCCCATCAATTCTATATATCTGGGCAGTTCCGGCAATTAATGGATTTGTGCTCCTCATTTTTATTTTCCAGAATTTTGCATTTTTTTTTTACCTGTGCTTCTAAAGAAGCTGTGAAAATAGAAAAGGAATGCATTTGATTTTCTTACAGATTTATACTCTTCCTCAGTATCTCTGTTATTTGTGCGTTTAGAGTAGATTTAATCTGAGTGAACATGAGTTCATCTTCAAAATGGTTGCTGGGTGATTTATATGAATTGGTATACAGTGAACCCCATATTCACATAGCTATTTGAGTTTTTGATGAGCACTATTTACACAGTGACAGTATTTGGTATACAATTGTTTTATTTTTAAATATCAAATGTTATGAACTTTAAACTGGTGAACATTTTGTGTGGTTGCAATGAACATTTGCCACAAACATGATGGCCATTTTCTGCAAGGCTGAGCATGCTTTGAGTGTGGGGGTTCTTGACAAGATTCCTCTGTTCATATGGGTGTTTATTTTAGTTGGGTTTAATGTGGAATTGATAAGTTCAATTGTTTTGTACTGGACTGCTTTAGGAGAGACAAAAGTTCTGGCTGCAGTTTATGGACCCAAGGCTGGGACGAAAAAGAATGAAAATCCTGAAAAGGCTTGCATCGAGGTCATCTGGAAGCCCAAAACGGGGCAGATTGGTGAGCATACTGAAATTTAACTGCTTTCTTACAATTCATTGTCATTTTTTTTATTGAGTAAAGAGTTCTTTTTCAATTAATAGATTTCCATTTTATTGAAATCCATATTTCCACGATAATCTTTACTGTCTCCAGCTATATTAATATTAAAATTTAATCATTCTATAAGTAGGTCTCCTTTGAGCAAATAACTTATATGAATTGGCTAATATTTTTGTGTGTTTGGTGTTTGCTTCCATTAAACGAACTCAATTTCTTCTGTTTCTTCATTTCCTGTCTTTTAAAACTTTTTTATTTAAGATTTTTTATGGCAGGTGAAAATTTATCATTAAAAACATCAATTGATCTAAAATTATATTGGAAATCTGGAAACACATTAATATTTAGAATACAGATGTATAGATTTTCTGAGCTTGCATTGCAAACTAGAGTTCACATTGGTCTTTATAATACTAGTGTATAGATTTCTCATTTCTTTTACTTTCTTTCACCTTTGGATAAAAATTGTTTACATCTAGGTAAACAGGAGAAGGAGTGTGAGATGATAGTGAAGAGGACTTTGCAAAGCATTTGCCTTTTGACGGTTCATCCAAATACTACAACATCTGTAATAATTCAGGTGAGGTGCTCAAACACTGAAGTGGAAATCAATGCCAAAGGAACTTCTATTTAATGTACAGTTCTGTCAATGATGAATATAACCCACCTATTTAAAAAAAAAAATTGAGATTTTATTTGTATGATCTACCACTTTTGTGTTGCACAATTGGTGAACTCAACTGCATAAATATGGTCAAATTTTTTCCTTGCAGTTTTGCTAATTGTTAGTAGAGTATTGGGTCTTCTAATTTTCTCTTTGACAGCAAGCTAAGCAGTATTAAACCCCTCATACTTCCCATAGTTTATTTCTTATTAATTCAGTTATTTGACATTTTCTTTTTATGTTCACCATCACATACCTGCTGTGCAGGAAAACAATTAGAGGTTTTTAATATGCTTATTACAATGATATTCTTTCAATTCCAACCATGTGTTTGTCTTTTGATGCAGGTTGTGAATGATGATGGTGCTGTATCCATTGTGACCGGAACCTTTTTATTATATATTATTATTACGCGAGAATTCATGATTCGGAGGGGGGATTTTTTATTTGATTGTATAAACCATGCTACTTGAATTTCCTGGATTTCATTATATTTTCTTCATGAGTAAAATTCCTTGATAGAGATTTTGTTAAGCTTCTTCCCTGTGCAATAAATGCTGCGTGTGCTGCTCTTGTAGATGCTGGAATTCCTTTGAAGCACCTTGCTGGTATTTACGACTACTATTCCACCTCATCTTTCCTAACTCAGTTATTTGATTAATTATTTCTCCCTCTGTCCCATTTTACCTTTTCTTCATTGGTCAAACCAACTCTTTCTTCTTTGCTTATTTATTTATTTATTTATTAATTAATTTTTAAATTTAAATTTTTGTGTTTTATAGTACTTTTAATGTAGTTTCTAAATATATAAATTTTATAATATACTAATACTATACTTAATGTTATGAAAAATTGAATTCAAAATAGCTTCAATCAAGTCTCGTTAGCCGAACCATAGACACAAAATGAGACGGAGGGAGTATATGCAAACTTATATGAGAGAGGAACTAATGTATGACAATGGGATTTGTGCAGTTGCAATTTGTTGCTGCCTGGCAGAGAGTAAATATGTTGTGCTGGACCCTGACAAGTTAGAAGAGCAGGTAGATTCTCCTTTACTCATTTCACGTTGAAGTCTGTTAGGCTGTTATATTGGTTAATAAAGTGTTTGTCTTGACTTTTGATGGTAAAAATATGGCCAACGTATGGATTTGATGCTGTGTGTATTGCTCTCTTTTTTCAATTGTTGGTTGGATATTTCATGAGGCTATATTTTGGTTCATCGCTTTTTGTGATCATAACATTCGATCGTTTTAAAATGGCAGAAAATGAAAGCATTTGTATATCTGGTTTTCCCAAACTCCCCGCATTTGGCCCTCCCCAAAGAATCGTTGCAGGCGGGAGGTGAACCTATGGAATGCGGGATTATAACATCTGTTACGCATGGCAAATTGGAAGGTACATACATGCCACTATACACTTGTCGCATTAATCTCTTATGTAGCATCATACGATTAAACCCACCCGGTCATCTTTGGTTTCTTCTTTCAGTCGATGATTACCTCCTGTGTCTGAATCGAGCGCGTGCTGCCAGTGAGAAGCTATCAGAGTATCTGAGAAGAAGCTTGATTGCAGTCCCAGTTGGGAAATGAATCTTGTAATTAAAGCTGGTGTGGAGTTGACAGATAGATAATGGAATCTCAACGACTGCAAGAAAGAATCTGTTGGATTCCTTTTCTTAACTGCTGCTTAGCTTGCTGACAAACGCTAGTAGAATATATGGCTGTGTGAAAGGTTTTTGAGTTAGGTTGGGTGTCGGGTGGTATTGTATCATCCCATTCGCATAATCTTGTTGTTACATCATGTTCAGAACATGCTAGCTTGCATTAGTCTGACTAAATTTTCATTTGTTCATAATTACAATATTTATTTGATTTTGGTTTACTTTAAATCACTCATTTGTATTCATTCAACGAACTTTGAAGGTGTACTGAGTAGCTAGAGTTATAGTTTTGGTTTTCCAAATATTGTATTTTTATTATTTTAGTTCATAAGTTTTAAATTGATCGGATTTGGTCTTTCAACAATTAAATGTGTATTATTTTTAGGGGTGACTCTTTTATAGACTCTTACAAATTTTAAAAGTTTGCAGATGTTTAATTCAATAGTCCTCTCAAATTCTACAAATTATTTTTATTTCATTATTGCTCGTATGTATATTTTGATTTTGATTTTGATTTTTTTTGCAAACTTTTTATCCTTAACTTCCAAATTATCTTTACAAAATTTTCTCCCTAACTTCTAAACTTTCTTTATGAACTTTTTTCTCCCCAAATACATGAACAAAACAAAATTTTCATCAAATTTTACTATATATTTCATAATATTCATATAAATACCTATTCAATTAACGAATTGTTGTTCGTAGTCTACAAATAATAGCTCTTTCGCTTGATGCTTAACTGTATATCTGATGCAACTTTTTATATATATATTATTAATATTATATTTTTAAATGTTTTATTTAAACTATCTTGTTGGCTTTTACTATAGATAAACATAATAACGTTGGAAATGTTGATGTAGGTGAAACTATATAATAAGAAGAAATTTATGATATATTATAACATGTTCTGTAAAAAAATGATAAATGATAAATGATAATAATTAATAATTTTTATAGACTTTTTAAAATAAAAAAGTTAATAAAAATTTATGAATATTTTTTATATAGACTTTTATTAAGTGTTATAAAATTTACAAAATTTAAAACGACTCTATGAAAATAAATAAAAATTTATTAAAATCTATCATTTTAAATTTTTTTAAAAATATACAAAAGTTTAATGTTTACACAATTGAAAATTTCTATTTTTAGTTTTCCGTGGCAACTAAAATGTTTTCCATAGTTGGAGGTCAATTTGTCAATTTGAACTTATTAATGACAAAAACTGAAATAATGCATTGGGATATTTGGTAAGTTAGGTGGTTAATGTAGTTGCAACTTGCAAGGTTAAATAAATAAATAAATAAATAAATAAATAAATAAATAAATAAATATATATATATATATATATATATATATATATATGTGTGTGTGTGTGTGTGTGTGTGTGTGTGTGTGTGTGTGTGTGTGTGTGTGTGTGTGTGTGTGTGTGTGTGTGTGTGTGTGTGTGTGTGTTTGGTAAATAGTTGTTAATTGATTGAGTTAGTGAATTTGACAAGTTGATAGTATTAAGTGATTGTAGAAAGATGTTTGGTAAATTAGGGTCCGTTTGGAAAGGGGGAAAATGACTTTTGGAAAATAAGTCATTTTTCAAAAGTCATTTTCCTTTCCGGTGTTTGGTTGCAAAATGAAAAAATGAATTTTGGTGTTTGGCTCATTTTCTAGAAATGATGTAGAATTGTATAATTAAACATTTTATATAATTAATTATTTTGTTTTAAATATATAAAATATTATAAATAATAATATTTATTTATAAAATTAAATAATATTATTTATTTAAAAAAAAAAACAAAATACAAAAAATGACGGAAACCAGAGAGGTTTCCGCCGTTCTCTCTGGCTTCCGGCCGGAAAGGCGGAAACCAGAGAGAACCTCTTTGGTTTCCGCGGCCGGAAACCAGAGAGAAGCTCTCTGGTTTCCGGCGGAAACTAGAGAAAAGCTCTTTGGTTTCCGGCGGAAACCAGAGAGATCTCAGGTTCCCGGCGGAAACCAGAGAGAGGAAGGCTCCTGAGTTGGGGAAACCAGTGAATGTTGTTGAAGGATGGTGTTGTTGAAGGGAGTTTGTGTGTGTGTGTTTAGAAGATGGAAAATGACTTCCCCCCAAAAAAAGGGGAAGTCATTTTCCAGAAAATTGCCTTCCTTTTCCATTGACTTCTCCTCATTTTCCTTTGACCAGCCATTTTCCAATGTAGCCAAACACCAAAAACCCGGAAAATGATTTTCAGAAATCATTTTCCGGGTTTCCAAACAGACCCTTAATTGTTTGCTGATAGCTGATTACATGCAAAACTTTATCAAAAAAATGATAAAAAAAGATGCTTTGAGCAGCTTTTTGGAGCAATAAGTTGTTACAAAAAGCTAATTAATAAACACTCATATTGTCTATTTAACCAAGTCAAACAGCTAATAGTGGTCAAATAAGTTAAAATTAACTGATAAATTAACTATGTTACCAAACAAGGGCCATAAGCTTGTAACAAAATTTTAGGGAGTTCAACAAATGTTTCGATTAGTTGATCGAGTGATTAATAACATTAAAAGATGTGTTGTGGAATTACATGTTTTATGTTGTTTGAAATACTCATGATCATTTATAAGGTAGTATCTGTTCTATATTTTCTCAAACATTTTTAGTCCAAAGAATCAAAGCACCCACCACTAGAATTTGACATATGATCATCCATTTGGAATGATAACTGGGATGCCATCACTATATCGTAATTGACAGATTCTCTCATCACTTGAAAAGTGAAAATTTTTATAATTTAGTTGGAGAGAATTGATGACATTATTTCATAAAAAAATGGAATAAGGGTCAAATAGGCCACTGAACTGCACACTAAAGTGCAATTAGGCCATCGAATTCAAAAATAATGCAATTGGGTCCCTAAACTACACAAACTCATGCAATTAGGTCTAAAATGACCTGTTGACCTGAAATTGTGCTGACGTGGCGGTTATAAATTTTAAAAATAAATTTTAAATATAATTTAAAATAAAATAATTAATTTAAAAAAAAAAAAAAACTAGAACTGCCGGAGACGAATCGTCTCCGGCAACTTCGTCTCCATGGCTGGAGACGAAAGCTTCGTCTCCGGCCATGGAAACGAAGCCTTCGTCTCCATGGCCAGGGAGACGAAGCTTCGTCTCCTAGGCCAGGGAGACGAAGCTCTTCGTCTCCATGGCCGGAGACGAAGCTTTCGTCTCCGGCCATGGAGACGAAAGACTGCCGGAGACGATTCGTCTCCGGCAGTTTTAGTTTTCGTTTTTTTTTTTTTTTTTTTTTTTTTTTTTTTTTTTAATTATATAATTTTAATTAATTATTTTATTTTAAAAAATATTTATAAATTATTTTTAAAATTGGTAACCTGCATTTCAGGTAAACAAGTCATTTTGGACCTAATTGCATGATTTTGTGTAGTTCAGGGACCCAATTGCATTGTTTTTGAGTTCAATGACCTAATTGCATTTTGGTGTGCAGTTCAGTGGCATATTTAACCCTTATTTCTAAAAAAATTGAATTTCACATGATCATGTTAGGCATTTTTTGAGCAAGGAGTCCGAGTCCAATTTCGTAAGGCGCGACTTATATCAAATTCAGATTAGTCCCACAATGAAATGCATTCTTCAAATAAGAGTAAAAAATTATACAATCGCAACTCATGCCAAATTTTGAATTAGTCTGCATCCAATACTAATCAACATTATTTTAAATCTTCTAGGTTATTAACCAACCAAATCCTTCATTTGTGAACAAATCCAACTATTATGTTTTCAAAAAAAAAAAAAACAAAAAAAATCCAACTATTATCAAATGTAAATCCGGATAGAGTCGGAGATGGTATATTATCTCAATAATTTTGTATCAAATCTCGTTGGAGGGATGAGGGAAATTTACGACCGCTATTCGAAGGTATGCACAAAGTAAACTCTACTCATGTGTAATAGTACATAAATTACACAAGTGAAATAAATTGTATTAAGAATTATGTGCGATGAATTAAATTAAGAGGATGTTTGACAAGAATCATCCTCTATTAACTTAATTATTGCTTTCGACCTTTTGGGTCACAATCAATGGCTATTTGGTCCAGAAAAAAAGAAAAAAGAAAAAACAAAATCAAAGAATTCTGTAATTTGTAAAGTTCAATACAGTCAATTACTTTCATAATATTGTACACACCGATAACTCAACTTTTTTTTTTTTGGCCTGGACTCCTGGAGCCTAGGCACGTTACAAGAAGATGAGACGAAGAACTTTATTATATTCTTGTGATGACTTAAAGTGCAATGTTTTCAAAACGTTAAAAACTAATGACTTAGAACTGATTTAAAGTATTGATATTTAATTACCCAACCTTTAAAGAACTAATTAATTAATTAATGAAAGTATTAGTGTAGAGTTCGAAAAAAGTGTTGGCAAAAAAATCAAACTCGTAACCTTCTAAATATAAGAGTCATGTTCTACCTTTTCAAGGTGAAAATGAAACGCTCTTATGATAATACAAGATGACGTGGCAATCCCAACCAAGTTTTTTCTTTTTTTTTGGTGAAAGGGAGGGATCGAAAGGTCCCGAGAATAGAACTAGGAAATCTTTCTGGAAGCCACCTGTAAAGCGTCGTACTGCAGAATTCTTTGAACACCGTTGGGAGGTTGGGGAAGGATAGTTGTACCCCAAGAAGAAAGTTGACCCATATTAGCGAGAAAATCGGCACACTTGTTCCCCTCTAGCAGCACGTGTTGGAGCTCGCAAACTTGGAACCGAGACATAAGAGACTTGCAGTCAGAGATTAGAGTGTCTGTTTCAGGATTGGTTCCTGTCTCATGTCCAAGGGCGTGAACCATTGCTTCAGCATCAGTCTCGGCGATGATATTTGTGAGGCCCCGGTTAAAGGCTAGAAGTATGCCCTCTCTGAGACCCCAGAGTTCGGCGGTGAAACTATTCGTAATACCGATCTTTGTGGTGAAATCGACAACCCATGTACCAAGGTGATCCGTGAGTGCGCCGCCCGCACTAGCCATGCCAGAGTTTGCCTTTTTTGCCCGTACGTGGCAACCCCAACCAAGTTGGTCGACCCTTGGTTTAATAATCACAAGGTTTTAAGTTTGACTTTCCACGGAGTTGTCTATTGGTCTTCTTGATTTTAACCGATTAACTACAGACAACCTAGGCTGATTTACTTTTTAGTGATCTTTTACTGGGCTAGGATCACAAAATGAACTTCATCTAGAGT